CTCTGAAGGAACACAAGTGTCCAAAGAAACCAGCACAAGTGTCCACAAATGTCCCAGTCCTTCATCCCTGAATGAGCTCATTCAGCTGAGGAAAAACTAAGTTTTATTTCCATGGAAGGAGATTTTTCCCACATTACCACTGGTTTAGTTCCAAACCAGTTCCTTCATTTCCTCCTCCCAGTTTTCCTGAAGGACACTGACAGAGACCATGGACACTGACAGGGATCACAGAGTTTGTCCCTTGGCCATACAGCTCCTGTTGTTTGGCAGCACAGGAGAGGTTAATTAGAGCCCAGGCTCCAATCGCAAGGCGCCCCTTGAAGACGAGCTTGAAATCAAATGACTTTCCTGCTGGAGGGTTAAATTCAGTCCCCATCACCTTTTTTGGGCTGAATCTTCATATTTTGGAGTATTTTTTAGCTGAATCTCAACTTTTTGCAGTTTGGGGTGGCGAGGGTCTTCTTGCTATTTCTGAGGGGTTTTTTGCCTGAATCTCGATGGTTTTGTTTTTTCTGGGCTGAATCTTGGTGTTTTGGAGGTTTTTATGGTCACAGGATGCCCGGTGAGTTCTAGAGATGGACTTGGGCAGGAGGAACCCCCAAGCCAACGCACTCAGCCCTTGTTTTCCACCCATCAGGATTTGTCCTTCCCAAAGCTTGGGCAGATGGAGGAGGAGGCTGCGAGGAAGAGGAAGATGCCTTGGGCCCCCCAGGCAGGTGAGGAGGAAGTCAGTGGCCCTTTGGGCGGGTGTTGTGCTGGCTCTGGCAGCCCAGCATGGCCCCCGGCTGCAGGACAACCCCGCTGCCGCCGCCGTCCTGCCGGGGCCGGAGTTGGGGGGATGTCCTTGGCCTCCCTGTGGGCCGGAGGCAAATCCCCTCCCTGTCCTTCTTGCTTCCTGCCCCAGGCCCCGAGCTGAGGACGGAGAGCCCGGAGGACAAATCCCCCCGGCAGAGCCTGGTGGGAGAGGCCGTTTTGAAGGGCTCCACGCCGCAGGAAGGCAACGGGGAGGAAAAGGGCCGGAGATCCCCCCGCAGGAGGGGCTCCAAAGCCAGCCCAGGGTGCTCTGAGGAGGAAAGACCCAGCCTGTGCCAGGAAGGCGGCCAGAGCTTGAGGCAGAGCTGTGACCTGGTGGTCCCTGAGCAGCCTCCCAGCAGGCAGAAGCCCTTTAAGTGCTTGGAATGTGGGAAGAGCTTCACTAAGAGCTTCAGCCTCATCCGACACCAGCACATCCACACTGGGGCCCGTCCATACACGTGTGGGGAATGTGGGAAGAGCTTCAGCCAGAGCTCCAACCTGATCCAACACCAGAGCATCCACACTGGGGCACGGCCCTACACATGTAGGGAATGTGGGAAGAGCTTCAGCCATAGCTCAACCCTCCGCATCCACCAGCATATCCACACTGGAGAATGTCCCTACACATGTGGGGAATGTGGGAAGAGCTTCAGTGACAGCTCCACCCTCCGCAGACACCAGTGCATCCATACTGGGGAACGGCCCTACAAGTGCTTGAATTGTGGGAAGAGGTTTCCGACCAGAGGGAATCTCCTCAGGCATGAGCGGACACACACGGATGAGAGGCCCTTCCGCTGCACCGACTGCGGGAAGAGCTTCAACCAGAATTCCCACCTCATCAGGCACCGGCGCATCCACACCGGGGAGAGGCCCTACAAGTGTGGGGAGTGTGGGAAGAGCTTCCCCAGGAGCTCTACCTTGACCTCACACCAACGGACCCACCGGTAAGGAAAAGACTTATGAGTGCCCCGACTGCAGGAAGAGCTTTGACCGCTGCTTCCACCCCAAATGAACCCCCTGATGATGAGGCAACCCCTGGAGTCCAGTGACTGTCAGTCCATCCCTTTCGACCACAAAGGGCCAGTCCCCTTTCCCAGGGGCAGCTTCTTCCAACAGAACCCTTCTTGAGGGGGTGTGTGGAGATTCCTGCCTTGGCTGGGGACCTCCCCAAGGTCACTGCTGGAGATGGAGAGCAGAGCTCTCCCCATGAGTGTTGGTCTGGGGGAGTTCCATCCATCTCTAATTAAGAATTCTTGCTTTTGTTCCAGTTTCAGTAGAATTGCTTCAGCAATTGCTTTAGTGTAGAGCACTGTCCTATCTTGTCCTGTACTCCTGGTAGTTTTAGTGTTTGTATTGTGGAGTAAATAATTCTGATGAAGATCTTTTGTCTGATCATTTGTATCCCTAAATAACTCGTTTCTATCAATAGATCTGATTTGCCATCATTAAAAGCTGGTGGACAAAAGTGGTTCAGTCACACTTCTGTAATTCCTCTAAACTGCAACTGTTGGCCTAATCCAAGGCTGAGATTGGATCCAGCAGCCCCCAGCACTCCACAGTAAGTTGGGAGCTCAGGGGGACCACCCCCCTTTCCCAACCTCCCAGTGTCCAAACACCCCCATGGGACCGTTGGACCCAGCAGACCACCCCCCCTTTTCCACCCTTCTCCCTGTTTCTCCCACTTTCCCATTGTCCCCTAAATCCCCAGTTTCCTACCAAACAGTTTTGGTGTCCCAACCCTGACTTTTTGTCCCCTCTCCTGTGGGCACTGGAGGAGAAAATGAGGCTGCACACACAGAGTTCCATTGCGGGACTTGTCCACCCATCTTTCCAGCGTCCCCCTTTCATTGGGGTTCCTTTGGAAACAGCACCTGGGCTTTGTCTTTTGGTCCACTGGAATTCCCAGCATGGCCCCAAAGCAGTGCCCTGATCCCACACATTCCCCTCCCCTCATGTGCTGGCTGTGTTCAGCCACCAGAGAAAAACACAGGCTGGTCATGCAGAGCGTTCCAAGTGGTTTCCACTTTGGCAAACAGCACTCTCTGGATGGAAAACACCAGTCAAGGCCAAAACACTCCTTTTGGATCCTGATTAACTGAATGCAGCTGCTCCTGCCTTAACTTGTTCCCATAAAACTTCTCAGGGTTCCTTTGGTTCCAGGAGGCCCCACATGTCACAGTGGCCCCTTGATTCCATGAGCTTCCACAGTCTCCAAAGGTTCCTTTAGTTCCATGAGGCCCTGCAGTCCCAAAATGCCCTTTGGATTCTCGGAGATTTCCCATTGTCCCAGGGTCCCTTGTGCTTCAGAAGGAGCTGCAGTGGGACAGTGGCCCCTTGGTTCTGTGAGCTCTGCAGTGTTCCAGGAATCCTTGGGTTCCAGGAGAGCCTGCAGTTTCACAAGGACCACTTGAATCCAGGAGGTTCTGCAGGGTCCCAATGGCCCCTGGATTCTGGGAGGTTCAGAAATATCTCCGGGCTCCCTTGGTTCCAGGAGGACACGCATGTCAGCAGGAACCCTTGGTTCCAGGGGGTTCAACAGTGTCTCAGAATTCCTTTGATTTCATGAGGCCCTGGATTGTCCCAATGGACTCCTGATTCCATCAGCCCCCTCGATGTCACAATGGTCCCTTGGTTCCATGAGTTTCTGCAGTGTCCCAGGGTTCCTTTTGTTCCTTAGGACCTGCAGTGTCACAATGGGCCCTGAATTCCAGGAGTTTTCCCAGGGTTCCAGTGCTGTCTTGATTCCATGAGATTGCCCAGTATCCCAGGGCTCCTTTGGCTCTTGAAGGCCCTACAGTATCACAATGGTCCTTGGTTCCATGAGATTCCACCATGTCCTTGCTGGAACATGCGTGGTTGTAATGCTGCCCCACCTGCAGAGCTGCCTCCAGCTCTGGGCTCCAGCACAGGAAGGACATGGAACTGTTGGAGAGAGTGCAGAGGGGAGCAGCAAGAGGATCAGAGTGATGGAGCAGCTCTGCTGTGAGGAAAGGATGAGGGAATTGGGATTGTTGAGGCTGGAGAAGAGAAGGCTTTGGAGTGACCTAATTGTGGCCTTCCAGTCCCCTCAGTAAATTCGTGGACAACACCACATTGGATGTGAGTGTGGATTTGCTGGAGGGCAGGAAGGCTCTGCAGAGGGATCTGGACAGGCTGGATCAATAAGGCCAAGTGTCAGGGCCTGACCTTGGGTCCCAACAACCCCCTGGAACGCTCCAGGCTGGGGGCAGAGGGGCTGGAGAGCTGCTCAGCAGGAAGGGACTTGGGGGTGCTGCTTGACAGCAGCTGGATATGAGCCAGAGTGTGCCCAGGGGGGCAAGAAGGCCAAGGGCATCCTGGCCTTTGTGGAGAAGAGTGTGGCCAGCAGGAGCAGAGAACTGATTGCCCCTCTGTGCTGGGCACTGCTGAGGCACCACCTCGAGTGCTGTGTCCAGTTCTGGCCCCTGAGTGCAAAAAGGCCCTTGAGGGGCTGGAGCGTGTCCAGAGAAGGGAACGGAGCTGGGGAAGGCTCTGGAAAACATGTCTGCTGAGGGACGGCTGAGGGAACTGGGCTTGTTGAGTGTGGAGAAGGGGAGGCTCAGGGGGGACCTCATTGCTCTCTACAGTGACCTGAAAGGAGGTTTTTAGTGGGGTGGGGGTTGGTCTCTTCTGCCAAGACTATAGTGAAAGGTTGTGAGGGAATGGCCTTAAATTGCATTGGGCAAGGTTCATATTAGATAATAAAGAACCCTTTTTCCACTGAGAGAGTGTTGAGGCATTGGAACAAGTAGCCCAGGGAGGTGGTGGAGTCTCTGGAAGTGTTCAGGTATGTGGTGGGTTGACTTTGGCTGGACACCAGGTGCCCTCCCAGCTGCTCTATCACTCCCCTTCCCAGCGGGACAGGGGAGAGAGTAAGGTGGAAAAAAAGACAATTCGTTGGTTGAGATAAGGCAGTTTATTTAAAGCAAAAGATAGCAGGGTTTCTTCTCTACTTCCCATGAGCAGCCATGGTCGGCCACTCCCGAGGAGCAGGGCTTGGGTCCGTGGGACGGTTCCTCAGCAGGCAGCCATTAGACAATGAATGCCCCCCTCCTGCTCCGTGCCTCAGCTTTTAGAGCTGAGCTGACCTCCCATGGTCTGCAATGTCCCTTTGGTCAGTTGGGCTCAGCTGGCCTACTTGGGTCCCCTGCCAGGGTCTTGCCCTCAGCTAAGGAAGGAATGTGCCAGTGTTGGTGCTGTGCTCAGCAGTGGCCAAAACACGGGTGTGTTCTCAACCCCCTTCCAGCTGCCAATGCCAAGCACAGCCCTGGGAGGGCTGCTGTGGGGAACTGAACTGCAGCTCAGCCAGACCCAACACAAATATCTGTGGCACATATTCTATAGAATCCATCCTTAGGTGTTGTATGATAGATCTATAAGATATTACAAATAATAAGGCAAGTGTCCTCCTTAGGGACACACCCTCCCCCCCCCCAAACTACTGCCTGGGTTTGTTCCCTGGGGGTCTCTGCAGCAGCAAGCCCAGCACCACACTGACTGCTCTGGGCTGTGCAGGCATTTGTGCTTCTGCCTGTCTCACACACACCCCCAACCTTGTGATGGATCTGGATGTCACTGGATGTGATGTCACAGGGGA